ATTTATTTCAACACCTGAGCATATTAATGATAAATTTTCACTTCTTTAAAAAGAGACAGCACCACAGGTAGTCACAGAAATGATCTTAGCTTTCCTTCCCACTTTATTATATATTTATTAACATTCAGGGACATTTTTCAGCTCTTGAATGAATTAGGCAGCTTGGATGAAAGTACTTTTAATTTATCTAAAGCATTTTAATGTTTTAATTGAGGAGAGATGTTAAACTATTCTATGATTATACAGTGGAAAATGAAGACAGAAAGGAGAAATAAATGGGCAATGACTAAAGGAAGTGCGGGGGAAGGGCAGTAAACAGTGTTTTCTTAATTTGCACATAAATGGTCTAGATTTAGGGCTGAGTGGTGACCAAGAGAGTTATATAGACCTAAAAAAGATCCAAAAATTAACAACAAAAATGTTTTGAGGACTGAAACAGCTCCCTTATGAAAAAAGAGTACAGCAATCAAGGCTCTTTAGCTTGAAACAAAAGAGGGTAATAGGAGATATGGTAGAGATATTTAAAACATGAATACTGGACAGATTAAATATCTATTAATAATGATAGCTGTTTACTACCTCCTAAATTATACACAGCATGCCTTAAATACTGATTGACAGTGGAAGGAGGTTCCTGTCCTCTAGCCCAGACTCCCTAATGCATCCAAATCCTCATTGTGTAACACAAAATGCTGGACCAGATAGGGCTATGGCCTGATCCAACAGGGCACTCTTTACATTCTTAAAATCCTGCTTTTCTATTCTAACTTTAACATCTGTGTAATTTTTTAAATGCCATGCTAGCTTATCATCTTCAAAACATACTTAAATCTCTGTAAGCCCAAGGAGCTTTCCCTTTGAAAGTTCTAACTATACACAATTTCTGCACAGACAAAGACAGGTTCAGTTGCTGAGGAGGAAAACTGAACCATAACCAAGACTATTGTCCTTAAAGTATGATCATGGATAATTATTGTTAATTTTTGTGTTAAGTATTGTTGCTCTTCATAAAGCCTTATTATTGCTATATTGCTGTTTATCTGACTTAAGTTTAATTTGTAGTAACTCGGTATTTGAGTCGAATAATGTATCAGAAATCACAGCTTATTTCTTTTTTACATTAAATATAGATACTATATGTGTAAGAATCCAAGGTGAATTGGAACAACCTGTTCCAAAAAAGGATTTTGTATGTTACCAACCAAGCCAACTGCTAGACCCATAACTAGATTTTTTTTTGGCAGGGATCTCCATAAGATAGTACCATTCTTGAGATCTGGAATATACTCCCTTGGGATTAACATTTGGTTCCATTTGTTTATTGTTAGCTGCCTTGAATGATAAAATTGATTTAAAAAGTGGGGAAATGAAGTATATACCATAATTTCCTTAGGCTGAGTAGAAGGCATTCAAGTAAACCTGCACTCAGTTTTTAAATTAAAACAAATTCAGATGATTTCTCAATTTCTCGCATTTTCAGCAATCAAGTTTTATTATCTTAATTTGCATTTGTCAGCATTTCCAATTCTTGAATGCGAATCTTAAGTCATGGAACAAGGCTGAGAGAAGGAGATGCTATACGTGATCCTCCCATTCTGTGGAAGGTCTTGCTTGCTGATTGCATTAGTTACTTGCAGCGAGAAACAGAAAGATGACAACTCAAGGCCTCATTTACCTCTGAAGAGATTGTGGAGTCCTTAGTGTTCTCTGAGCTTGGTTGTTTTCTTGCAGACATTTTGTTATCCAACTAGATAACATCTTCAGTGCTAGAAAGGAGTGGGGTTTCCTCTCCATTCATATATAGTAGCTTGCCCCATCAGTGTTGGTGGGGGTGTGGTTTTCTCCTTGGTAATTCCTTGATTAGGCTGTTGTTTACTGCTTGATTATTTGTCTGAATTGGTAGTTCCCTGATCAGTGTACTGTTTGCTGCTTAATTGTTTTTCTGGTGTTAATCCTGGTGTTAATCCCTGTTTATCTGGGTGTTGATTGCTGGCGAGGAGGTGTTCTGGTCTTTTTGTTTCCTTTTTTAGCTTGTTATTATCTCTTCTGAATGGTATGTAAATGTTGTTTATCTCTATGTGCCTGTTGATGGCTGACTTGTCTAAATACCAACTTCCAGAAATTCCCTTATGTTTTTGGATTTAGCTTGGTCTAAGATGCTGACAGTTTCCCAGTGGTAACTGTGATTGAATCTGTCCATATGTTGTGAGACTGAGTTTTCATCATGTCTTCTGACTGCTGGTGTTCATGGATGCGCTCTGCTGGCCTTCTGCCTGCCTGTCCTACATAGTGGCAGTTACATGTTGTAGATGACTCCTGTTTTTCCTTCTTGGGCTACTGGGTTTTTTTGGTTTACTTAAGATGTTTTGGAGGACTTTAGTTGGTTTGTGTGCTGTGGTGATGCCATGTGGTTGTAATAGTCTGTTGGTTGTTTCTGAGATGTTTCTGATGTATGGCAATGTTACCCTTTTCGTAGCTTGTGTTGGTTGTGCTGTAGTGGGTTAAGTGGTCAGGCACTTTCTGATAAAGTTGTGTGACTATCCATTCTGTTGGAAGATGTTGTATAAGTGGTCTCTTTTTTGTTTGTTGTTTTTCTGCTGCTCTGGAGCATTCCCTCCATGCGTTGACATATTGCCCTGGAGAGGAAACTAACTTATAAGCATTATTATTCTCCTGTACAATTATTTAGTCTGCTAATAAAATGACTTGTAAAGAAATCTAGCAGGATTTAATAGGAATGTTTCCTATTTTTCTATCCCCAGAAAATGTGGTTACATTTTACAGAAGATGCCCGCTCTGTCTGTGTTATCCCTGTAGCAATGTTGTCCATGAATTTTGTCATCCCTGCCTCTTTTATATATTGAAATCTTGTAACAATTATACCCAGATATAGAATTAGAAAGGGTTTTTAAAAGGTATCTTCTAGAGTAAATGTTATTTAACTTATCTTTAGTTTTGTAGCCCCTACAGCCCTGTCTGAGCACACCACCAAATGTCACTTGTGCAATTGCATCATCATCATCATCGCAGCAGCAGCAGCAGCAGCAGCTACTCTGAGGAGCAAAATTCATGAAAATTGTAGTGTAAGTTCTAGAAATGGTTTACCACATAAAAGCAAAGCAAAGAAGTAACCTCTCCTAAAAGGAAAAACTTTGCCAGCCTGCCCACTTTGGAACCTTGCTCCACCCTGCTCTGCTCTTATGTATTTATCGTGTTAGCTGGTATCCAAATCAAGCTTTTTTAGCCCCTTCCCCCAATAATTTTGTCAGCACTTTTTCTCTAGTTTCAGCACTATCACTGGGGACTTCTAAGGAATATTAATAGGCTTTGGAACAAGAGAGAAAAAAAGTAAAGGATGGGAAATAAGGGAAAATGCCTTTGTCTAAAATATGCAGTGGCAGCTACTTCAAAGTTGCTCCCTCAGGTCCCCTCCAGAAACCTTCACTTATGGTAAAAAGTTTCATATATTTTTTGGTATGGTCAAACCTTCCCAGGTGAACAGGTATTTGGGACTATATCAACTTTTGCTGAAGGACATGAGTGTTACAGACATTCAATGTTAGACACTGGGGTGGGGGGAGGGGGCTATAATTGTTAATCTGGCCTCTGTGCACCACAGATGGAGAGCTACCAGAGTTGGCTGTAAGGAGCATTGTAAAGAGTTTCTAGATACTGTCCAGAGATGTTTCATCTTTGACATTAAGGAAGGAAAAAACAGATATATAAATGCAGGTTTCAGATGTAGCTCCCCAATATTTCTACAGTATTATTCTATGAATGAAAAGTTACTGAATTAACCTTCGCTATTAAATGGAGAACTAAGTTTATGTTCAACTACTGAAAACTGAAAATGATAAGAAGCAAACCTGAATATCAG